CCCAAAACCTCCTGATTGTCTTCCATAGTTTAGAAAGGACTTACTTAAACCCATCCTTTTTAATTGTTTGAGTGAGGCCCATGAATGAGCACTGGCTGGCAAATTACTGCTCCAGCCTTCCTCTCTTAGCATGCTTCAATGACTTGCAAGAAACAGGTTTTTAGGTTTGTGATACTGAGAGGGGTGGTAGCAAAGTAGAAAGAACAGGGTTGCAAAGATCTAGAAAATCAGCACTAGAATTTACTAGATCTTCCATTTACCGGGTGCAGGCCCTGCGGCCTCAAATTCTGTATCTGACAAATGGGAATAATGATATTGAACTTTAATACCTGTAAAGGGAAGTCCTGAACAACTGTAAAATACTCTATTGTCCTCATAAAGAGGGTTTTTTTCTTCTTCTTGGCTTTAAAGAAGGTCTTAGCCCTGAAAGGATGACTGAAGTTCCCCTGGGGAGCTGAGTACGTCAATCACACTGCAAAGCTGCATCTGAGTAGGGAGAAAGCGTTTTAAAGGGGACTCGGTGACCTTGGGTTCTGGTCTGGGTTTGAGAAATGTTCCTCTCTCCAGAGCCCCAGCCCCAACCGCTCTGGCCTAGGGCTGGGAGCTGTCGTCGTCTCCTCTGACAACATCCAAGCACAGTCCGATGGTGGCATAGTTAGAAAAATACAGCCTCACAGCCTCCCGGTGTAGCCAGAACACCAGCAAGACAAATCTTCCAGGGGATTCAGGCCCCCGCCCAGCTCTTATCCCCCCGCATCAAAGCCACCCCCTACCCCTGCCTCCCCGGAGGCTACAGCCTCCGCGGTTCCTGGGCGGAGCTGGGCCTGCTGAGAGCTCCCCACCTTCCCAGAGTTGGGCCTAATGGCAGGGCCTCTTCTTTTCACCGGCTAGGGCTGATACGCTCCCCCTGCCCCCCATCATTAACTGAAAAGAAAAGATCCCCGGCCATTTCCATTTCCTCTGCGGCTCAAGAGCCCTGTTATTTAATCCCGCGGCCACCCCGGCAGCATCCCCTGCGCGGCCGCTCCACCCATCCACCTGGCCGACTCGCCGCCGCTCCCGCGTCTCGGGAGGGGAGCCGGCAGCGCCCCCCGCAGCCAGGAGCCTTGGCCTCCGCTAGACCGAGGCTCTCGGGCCCGCATTCCGCGAGGGCTGGGAGACGCACGGGGGTGTACAGGGGCGCAGCTAGTCGGGGCAGCAAAGGCAGGACCGACAGACGCCGGGGCACTGCGGACGTTACACTGGGGCGAGGGGGAAAGGGGTTGCTACGCGGAGAGAGCCAGGTCTCCCCCGCCAAGTAGCCAGCATCGCCCATGGGGGGTACTAGAGCCGGAAGAGGCCTCCGCCGGTCACTGTCCACACCCAAGAAGTGGGGGAGGGGCGGTCGGCGCTCTCTCCAGGGAGACTTCGCCTCGGGAAAGGAACTAGATCTCCTCAATAGCCCGCACTCCGCCCCTCTTTGATATGGACGTTTGACGTTTTCTTAATTATTGGTAAAAGCAGCTTCAAGACCCCTCCCCCGACGCCGCTGGTCTGGAGAAAGAGAAGGCCCCCCTGCAGGGGTCTACCCGGTCCCCGCCCCCACGACTGCCTGCGGTCCCTGGAGATCCCTAAATTTAGGTGTGTCCTCCCCCGCCCAGCTCTGGCCTAGGATCCAGAGGCTGCAGTGCCCTCCCCGACCCTCCCCCCTCCCAGCGAAACGGACGGTTCCAGCCCCGGCCCGCAGGGGCGTGAAGGTGGCCTTTACCTCCTCTCGCAGGCTGGGAGGGGGCACAGCCCGAGCAGCTGAGTCAGCTGCAGCAGTCGCCGCCGCCCTCCATTCATTTAAAAACTGGAGGGGGGGGTTACAACAACCTCCACCCCTCTTTGTAAAAGAACGACGGCCCCTGGAGGAGCCAGAGTCAGCCCCAACAATCACGGGTTAAGTTCTTTTCCGGCCCCCCATTCATAAAAAAAAAAAAAGAGTGTGGCGCATGCGCGCGCGGGGGTCTCTTGTGCCCACCCATTCATAGAATCGCGAACTGCGCGCGTGCGCACTAGCGCTCCCTTCCCTCCCATTCATAAAAAAGCCATTTTCCCAGGCTGTGGTTGCAACATCGCCGCGGAGGCAGCGAGAGAAGCTGACAGCGCGGAGCTGGCGCTGCTGAGCGCAGGAAGCCGTGCCGGTTCCTTCGGCCGGCGTCTGCGAGGACAGCGGCGTCTGACCCGCTCGGGTTAGGGGATTTGCACAGACGTGGAGCAATGCTTGTGATTCTGCGGCTCCTCAAAGTAAGTCCCTGGCCGGTTTCGGGACCCGAAACTGCCCCACTCAGAGCCGCGACGCGACTCCCCCTCGGGCTGGGGCAAATGGTGCGCTATTTCTAGGCGCGCCTCAGTGTTCCTTCCCTCTCCCTGCGCCTCCTTGAGCCGCCGCGGTGCGCCGCAGCTCCCGGACGCCCTGGGCTGGGCCGGCACGGCGCCGGGGGGTGTTCACAGCCTGGCACCGGTGTTTCCAACGCCGGGGCATTGCCAAGCCCGGCTTCCCCGCGCTCTGAGACTCGGGAAGCCCCGTGCGTGCCCCGGGAGTTTGCCTCTGGCCTGGCCTCTTTCCTCCTGCCACCACCCGCCTTGGCCGCTGGAACGAGCGACTCTGGGCTCCATATGGAGCCACCTTTCGAGTCCGGCGGGCGCCCTCTCCATAGGCGGCTCGCCCACCCCGGGCTCGGTGCCCACGGTGCCAGCTCTGCCGTAGATCTCCCCAGCCCGCCGCAGCGGCCTATGCTCGACGTAGGTTTTTCTTTCCCCTCTGGAGTCGTGACGGACTGGTTTTTCTCCCCTTCTGCCTCTCCCCTCGATGGTCAGCGGTGGGCTGGCCTGGGAGTGGGCACTTCTGCTCCCTCTTTTTGGCGAGGCGGTTCCTCGCCGTCTGACCTTTGCTCTGCTGCCGCATTTTATGCTGTGCAACTGCCTTGCAGTTAGTTGCCTTTCCCTCTCCCGGCTTCTGCAGGGCCTGAGGCTCCTCGGCCTCCTCGTGCCTCCCTATCCCCGGGCACCGAGCTGTGCCAGGCGCCGGGGCCCCCGGGCCGCTCTGGGGCTGTGGTGGGGGCTGAAGGTGCGTTTACATAACGCCGGGCGTGTGGGAGCTGGAGGAAGAGGTTGCGTGCGTAGGAGAGATAAGGCTCCCGCTTTCCCTCCTTCCTTCTTGGGGGCACCAGGCTTGACATCACCGAGAAGAGAGGATAGAGACGGTACGTTCTGAAAAACCTGAGTCTCCAAGGCCACGGGTCAGTGAAGGGGGGCGAGGGCGGATTTGGCCAGCCAGGGCAGCTGGAGCTTGGCTCCATCACTGGGGCCAGGGCTGTGCCCAGTTCCCTCTCTATGCAGACGATCAAAAAGCGTTTAGACAGTAGCTGCTCTTGTGCAAGAAGACGGTTTCTCAATTCTCTTTGATTGGGGGCTGGGGGTTGTGGGCAGAGGAGGCCAGAGAGCAGAAAATGGTTGCATGGCTTGGAAGCAGTGGTTGCAAGCAGTGAAAGGAGAAGGTACTGGGCTGGAGGGGCTGGATGGTGGGGAGAGGGGAGAGCTCCTAGCTGCCTCATTTCACCAGCTAGCTGCTGGATGGGCATCCATATTGCCAGGCCTGGGTGAGGGCAGGAGGCAGCCTTTTGGCGCATGCAGGCTTTGGGAGCCCCCCACCATGGTTAGTGCTGAAAGGAAAAAGGTGTGGGTTCAGTGGAGTGGCCAGACCCAGTGGAGAGACCCCCTCTTTCCTGCCTCCAAATCAGTGGCGTGATTCTCTCTAGTTTGGGGAGGGGCGGGAGCAAGTGCATGTCTGTCTGGCTAGCTGACCAAGGCTCTCCAGTCTTTCTGATGAGCCTCTCAGAGACAGGCCCAGAGCATTTAGGAAATACGGGTTTATCAATCTCTTAATAAGCTCGGTCTGGCCTGAGGCCCTACCCAATATTGCACTGGTGATTTCACAATGTTTAGAGTTCTCTGGATCTTCACACGAATGGAGCATAAACATGAAATTTTCAGCTTTTTTTCCCTTCATGTGTGGGTGTGGGGCTGACTAGGAAAGAGAGGGCTGCAGTTGGCCTCTGCGCCTCTCTCTCTCTCTCTTCTCTCAGCAGAATGGTGGGAAAGAAGTTGTAGACGCGTCCTATGTGAAATTGAATTTCCTCTTTCCCAGCCCTTGGGAGGGTCCTCACTTGCCAGCAGGCTCCAGGTGAATCCTAACGTGAGCAGTGCACACGCTGACCACTGAGCCGCGTGGCCAGTACGGGTAGGCGGCTTTGTGGAGGTGGATTTCTGAAATCGTGATGGACGAATGTTGGCCCGCTAGGGTGAGGAACACTTGAAAGGCATCTCTTCGTTATCTTCCTTTTTAGATCCCGAACTCGAGTCGCTCCCCTTTTTGTGGAGTGTAAATGCTCTCCTTTTCCAGATTTCCCTCTGAAATGGTAAGGTCTCCTAAAGCTTTGGTTGGGCTTGGTGGGAGGAGACAACACACACAGAATAGAACGATTCCTGGCCGAAGCAGGGCAGAGGCTGGGGACGGTGACCATTTGGAGCCCTCAGATACCATTTTTATTCTCATCTTTCCAGAAGAGGTGTAGAGATGAAGCTCTTTGGAACTGCATCCTCTGTCCAGTTCATACTCTTTACCCTCCCCCCACACACACACACTCTGGTAAACCCGACAGTGCCACTGCCCAGAGTTTCACTGATTTGAATAGCAAATAAAGGCAGCCTTTCAGTGCAGAACTGGATAGTCAGTGATTTAAAAATTAAGGGCGGAAAAAACACCCATTAACACCCCCAGAAGTGGCCCTTGAGGGGTACTCCCCTGGGGCTTAATACTTTGGCCCATGCCATATGGGGACTTATCTTCCAATTCCTGATGCTAAACATCTTCCAGCCTCCAGTTTGGAGCCCCCACAAGCCACCCAGGTGTTGGTACCAGGGAGGCTTAGAAAAGAGCCCCTCCTTTTCTTCAGAGAAGCAGCTCAGCGCCCCCAGACCTTATGGCACTTAACGGCATTCAAATGGTTCTGAATCCACAGTGCCTGCCCTCCGGTCCCTACTGAGGTGGAAGTTCCCTTGGGAAGAGAACTTGGGGAAGGATTCTTGCACAAACCTGGGTTATCTAATTGAAATTTTGGATTTGGGGTGTAGACAAGACAGTTATTTAAGGAAGGAGGATGGCAAGAGTGGAGAAGTTTCCATCTCTTGGCCAATCTGGATCTCCCTGATTCATTGGGATAGATTTTTGCTCTTTCAAAAGAGCTAGAGATAGAAGCTGGTAAAATGCAACATATTGAAAACTTTTACTCCTTCCAGACCAAGCTAGGGGCTGGATCAGAGCAGATGGTGGCTAGGAAATGTGCTAATAAGCTCAAGCCTTAGTCTCCCCCATCTGCAGAATGGGAAGGAGGAACTCCTCCTGTGGGGCCAGGGCCAGCTGAGCAGCTAGCAAGTATGCAGGGCTGAGACTGTGCTACCTGTTACTACTGGGCCCCTAGTGGGAGGGCCTGGTTCTAAGGAAGCCCCCTTCCTACACAGGAGGTGTGGGGTGTTGCATGATTTAAGAGGCGGCATATTCTTGGCTCTCGGGTCTGGGGCCACCCTGCAGATCCGGACAGCTGACGAGGCTGAGGATGTATCCGGGACATGTGGCTGGGCTTAAGAAGCTCCACCGTTCAGCTGTGATCACGATTGTTCTTTCCAAGGACAGTCAGTGGAGGAAGCAAGGGCACTGGGGAGGGAGCACAGATGTGCTGGATCTAGTGGGAGAGGGAAGAGGCCCTTCTGGGGCAGGTGGACATTTGCAGAAGAGTGGTTTCCCTTGTCAGGTAGTCTTTCTTTTTCTGGTTAGGGGAAAGAGGGAGTCATTTCCTGCCCCATCCCAGGAGTAAGCTAAAATCTACTAGGGTAAGTTCATTTGTTCCTGGAAGGTGGTGAGATAAAATGATCTTGGTGTCAGTGAGAGGGGCCTTCCCCTGGGGATCTAGGTTTCTGCTATCCTCCCCCCCCCCATGTGGGCCAGTTGTTCCAGTGTTAGCAGGTTTCTTCTAGTCCCATTCTCCTCTGACTCTTGACTTCTAATCCCTGTTTAAGGGGATCTGAACGGACAACGATTACGGGGGTAGTGCACTGAAGCTGAAATTTGAAGCGGGTTAGAATAGCCCAGAGCCAAAGTACAAGACCTCTCCCACTCCTCCTGGCGCTGGGTCTTCGGAGCTCAGCTGATTGGTTGTGGGAGAGGAAGAGGGTTGGGAACTGATAACTGGTGATGGGACAAAGTGATGAAAAGCAGCTGTTTTCTTTTGTGATGTCAGACAGATTATGGCCAGAGGTGGGCTCCCCAGTGCTGGCGCTGGCTTGGGAGGTAGGGCAGGGAGCAAGGATTCTCAGACAAATCCAGCTGTGCCTAACTGCTTTTTTTTCTCTCACCCGGACCATTCTCAGCAAAGATGCAGAGATTGTCTCCCTCAGTAAGACGTAGGGCAGCCAAGTCCCTGGCTTCCCTCCCCCTGGTCTTTAAAGTCTTTTTGAAGCAATAAGTCATTATTTGGTTGGAACTTAATTAAACTGGGATGTTGTCACAATGAACCAAGCGATAGTGTTGGATAGTGGTGGGCGGGCTCTTTGGCAGACTAGAGACCTTTTTTTCTGAGCTGTTGAAAGGGTTAAACAACCTTCACTGAAAGAACCTGCTGCGACTGAATGGGGCAGTGCAGAAACTGCCCTTCATTCAGAGCCTCTTGCCAGTTTGTCTCAAACTGACCTGCAGTTTTCAAAGCACAACTGTAGCCTTTCCCTAATATTTCCCAACCCCTCTCCCCAGGATAAGTCAAGGGGAAGGGGGGTGGGGGGTGCCGATATGTAACATGCTGCCTGGTTCTTTTCAGCCAGCCTGTACTGAGGGGCCTGCTGCTCAGTCCCTCCCCACAGGTACAGATGCAGGGTCAGGCTCGCCGCCGGCCAAGCTGCAAGTACAGGGCTGTGTGCTCTGGGCTTTCCGATCTCCCGCTGATTCAGTATTCTAGGACTCTCTGGCTTCCTCCCACCCTGGCTGCTCCTTCCCTTCGCCACAGCCCTGGGCCAGGATGCCCTCTCCATGAACAAAGCCCTAGGGGCCCTTCAGTTCGGCTTTACAGGTAGGAGGAGAGGGGATTCTATCCCATTCCTGGGTTTCCTCTTAGGGACTCCTTTGTGGTGAGGGTCCTACAAGTGAGACCCATTCAACTTTAAGAAAACTAAAAATGAAAACACTTAGTAAACTGGGGGGAGAGGCAGAGAGGTGACAGAAGGGATAGCAAAGAAAACAGAAATTGGAAGTGATGATAACAATTGAGCTCTGAGCTTTCTTTTAATGGCAGGTTTCAACCCCCAAGCCTCCCATTTCCACACTGAAAATTTTCCCTACCTGGGGGCCAGTCATGTCAGCCCTGCATTGGCTTCATTTCCCTGCTGGTTTGGTTAAAAGCCCGCAGATGGGCTGATGTCATTCCCCAAGGGCTGGTGGCAGACTGGGGAGACTGGTAGAGTTCATGGCTGTGAAAATGATTGACGCTTTCATGCGTTTCTGTGAACAACCAGAAGTTGTAAGGCAGGGCTGAGGTTGCAAGGTCTGGAGCTTCTGCTCTCGGGGTTTGAATCCTTCCCTGATCACCCGTCACCTCTGTGACTCTTTGTTCTTGCGTTTCTCCCTCTGCAAAATGGGTGTTATCCTCCAAGGTGAGGTAAGGATTAAATGAGAAAATCATCGAGGGCTTAGCACAGAGCCTAACACCAAGAAATGTTTCATAAATATTAGCTGCTTCCATAATTATTATTTATTATGATTATTAGAAGGTTGGAGTGCAGTGAAAGTTTTCTTTCCTCGTGCTAATCCATAAGACCACCACCTAAAACTCAATAGAGGTGCTTCTCTGGCTAAGTGGAGTGCTGGCTTTGTTTCTCGGTCCACGATCTTCCAAATTGGCCATCAGTCTTCCAAACAGCCTAAATGAGGCAAAGCCTCCTCTCTCCTATTTATATTATAAATCTCTTCCTTCCTTGCAGGGGAAGCAGAGTACATATTAAACTGCACTTAAGTTCATCAGCATTGCTCAGACTCTGGAGGGTGGGTGTGTCCCTGGGAGTAGAGATTGATCTTCTAAACCAACTGAGGATTGGGGGTTGGTTTTTTCTGAGACTTCATTTAGCTGTGCTGAGGGGTTATCAAACAGGCTGTTCCGGAAGTTGTTTTTCTTTGTCAGCCAAATGAATTCAGCCCTCCTGTGGAGGGTTCCTGCTAATGGGGAGGTGAGGCCGCGAGGCCTGAGCAGGTTCGAGCAGTGCAGCTTTAAGCCAGCAGCTAGTTTTTGCTGAGCTGGCAGCCTGAAGGAATCCTATGTCTGGGTTAAGATAGAAAAGATGCATTTTATTTTTTTTATTAAAAGAAATGTTTTGTTTTTGTTTTGAACATTTTTGTTTTCCTTTTCCATTACAGTTAACATTCAATATATGTTAGTTTCAGGTGTACAACATAGTGATTAGACATTTGTATACCTTACAGAGTGATAACCCTGGTAAGTCCAGTACCCATCTGACACCGTACACAGTTGTCACAATATTGTTGACTATTCCCTGTGCTGTGCTTTACATCCCCATGACTGTTTTTATAACTGGCAATTTATACTTTTAAATTCCTTCCGCCTTTTTCACCCAATCCCTCTTCCATCTGGCAACCATCAGTTTATTCTCTGAATCTGAGTTTGTTTTTTTGTTTGTTTATTTTGGTGTGTTTTTTGCTTCGTTTATTTTGGTTTTTAGATTCCACATATAAGTGAAATCATGGCATTTGTTTTTGTCTGGCTTATTTCACTTATAATACCTTCTAGGTCCATCCATGTTGTCACAAATGGTAAGATTCCATTCTTTTTTATGACTGAGTAATACTCCATTGTACATATATGTACCACAGCTTTATCTGTTCATCTGTCGGTGAACACTGAGGTTGCTTCCATATCTTGGCTGTTGTAAATAATGCTGCAATGAACACAGGGGTGCATATATCTTTTTTAATTAATGTTTTGGGTTTCAGGGAAGATGCATTTCAGAATATGTCTGCCAGAACCATCTTGAATGCAGCCTTTTCCAAGAGAGCTGAGTCATTGTGGACCAAGCTCCCACCCCCATTTCTGGCCCCAACTACAGGCTCAGATGTTGACAGCTGCCTACGGAGGGTGATGGGAACCTTCCAATGCCAATATCTCCATTCTCTGCAGGCCCTGCTCCCACCCTGGCTTCCTGGTGGGACTTTTCCATGGGACTTTTCTGTGAATCTGCCTTCTGATTCCAGAGTCTGTTAAAATCCCTGAACATTGCTCGTGCCTTTTGCTTCATCCACAGAAAATGGTTGTTTTTAAAGAACCCCAGGAATAGAATTGGGGAAAGGAGAATGGATCATCTGCTTGAGGCTAGGGTGTACCATACCTTCCTTGTCCTCACAGCATGGCAAGTCCCAATCCTAGTCCTAAAAGACAAAAACCCAGCGACATGGGGCAATACAGCCTTGAAACCACCACTGACATTTTTTTAAAACCAGTTTTACATTCTTTTTTTAAAATATATTTTTACTGATTTTAGAGAGAAAGGAAGGGAGAGGGAGAGATGGAAACAGCGATCGGCTGCCTCCTGCACGCCCCCTACTGGAGATCGAGCCTGCAACCCCTGGCATGTGCCCTGACCTAGAACTGAACCTGTGAGCTCTTGGTTCATAGGTCGATGCTCAACCACTGAGCCGCACTGGCAGGGCCCTGTGTATCTGTGACCTGAGCTTCTGGAATAAGGGAATCATGTTGTCTTTGTCCGGGGTGGGAGTTCTAGCTGAGGCACCTCTTGGCTGGCGCCAGAGAGTCTTATCCTGTGCCTCTGTCAGCATTTTCCATTCTTATGCCTAGTCACACCTTTTCCTCCAGGCAAAGGACGTGGGGCTCCTAAGGACCCTCTTCTGTTGATCCCAAGCCCGTTTTTTCTAGACACAAGGCTTTGAAACCCCTGCAAAAGGGTAAGTGGGCTGAGGTAGCATTCCCTGAAATTCCTCCCGCATAGCCAACCTGATCCTTGGAAGAACTCACTATAGATGCTTATTTGCCACACACACACCCCCCATCCAGCTCTGACCACAGGAGGCCGCCTTGGCAATGGATGGCAGACCTGCCAGACACTTAAGTCTAACTTTGCCATGGAGAAGTCTCCCATTTGAAGATGATGTTCTCATCTGGAGGGAACATGGAGGCAGGAGGCAGGCTTTCTCCAAGATAGGAAAAGGTTTGCACAGAAATACCAGCATCTTTGAAGTAGGTAGGCAGTGGGAGCAAAGCCAATAGTTCGTGCCCTATGCAAATGGGAAAGATCCTTTGACTGAGCACTGAACCTTGTAGAAAAGGCTTTTTTGCATTTGGCAGTATAGATGATATACAGATGAGATTCCTGTGGATAAGCTCCCTTTTATACCCTTCATGAACTTTGCATCTAGAGCTAGCTCTTTATTTCATACGGGCTGGAAAGCATCTGAGGAAGCCCTTCCCCAACAGTATAACCATTGCTGATCAAACCGTTGTTTCCAAGTAGGGGAAATATAATGTTGAGTTGCCCTGAATGCCTTTTTTTATTTCCCCTTCACTCCTTACTATAGACATTGAGAAGTGTGGATGAGTCACCCGGGTGCAAGGTGTCATTCTCCTGTAATTGGAATATTGCGATGGATTGACTGTGTCCCAAGTCTGGAACGACAGGGGGAAGTGGAAACCTACCCACATCCCCTTCTTAGGCATCACCTTGGAGAGAAGATGAAACCTAACAGCTGAGGCGCAGGATCTGCTCTCCTAATTAGAACATCATTAGCATCTTGAAAAAGCATTTCCCGAAACCCCACCCCGAAACACATTACTCCAGAGGCCTTTTTCTTTTTTCTTTTTAAAAGATGGTTCTAGTTCCCTTCTATCCACACCCTGTTTTGTCCCCCGCCCCCACCCCCGGTGGAATCTTCCCAGAGTCTAATCTTTCTCTTGGATTCCAAATCATGTCCCCTTGGGCAGAGGTCTTGGCCTTCTGCTGCTATTTCTTTAAATTGATCTCCAGCCGAATTCCGAATGTAAAGGTCAGCAGGCGAGGAAATGGCACTTCTAATAGAAAACAATGTGCACTTTCTAAATTTGAACCAAGCCGTTTCCGCTCTTTGATTTAAGTGACTTCCTGGGGTTCCGTGTCAGGCACTGCAGTTGAATCTCTGGCGGGATTCCAACTTAAAATTGCACTCTCTCGGTGAAATTAGAAACTGATCCAGGGTTGGCTTAGCTATTCTAGTAAATAGCATTTAGGCCGAATGTTCAGCTCAGCACTTGGAAATGGGCGATGTGAGTGCCCCTGGAGAGGATTTCCCATCCAAGTTGTCAGAAGCTCACCTACCCATGGGTTATTAGCCACTGGAGGATGCTGCTCTTAGAAGTGCTGGCAATAAGTTAATATCCTGGACGTGCAGGCATCAGATACAGCCCTTCCTTCTCTTTGACTATCTGAAATAAAGGCTTTTGTTTATCCAGCTGATAAACTTTATGGGAGCATACAGGGGCTGTCTCTCGTGGTCACTATATCCTCAGCACAATGTTTGGCACGTAGTGCTTGTTAGTGTTCAGGAAATCCAAACTGTTGCTCTCTGGGATGGTGATAAGTTACGGAGCACTTGCTGTATGCCAGGCAAGATGTTAGGTACTGGATATATATTTTCTCATTTAATCCTCACAAGAACCCATTTTACAGTTGGCAAAACTAAGGCATAGAGGTTAAAAAAGAACCTCATTCACAGCAACACTGCTAGATGGAAGGGAGGATTCGAACTTGGACCTGATCCCAGAGCCTGTGTTTATCCCAACTGAGCTATCTATCTTACATAAGGAGCACTTTTCAAAGAGATTACAAGAATGAACTCAGACGGCCCAGGTTGAGTCCTGGTCCTGCTACTGATAGTTTAGTGTGACTTTGGACCAGTTAGAAAAACTAGGAAAGGGGATATTAGTAGATATGTGTCAGGGTTATTGTGAAGAGTCCGTGACTTGATGCTTATGGTACTTGTTAAGAGCTAAATAAGTGTAATTCACTTACTATGGTTGTTGTCATTATTAATCGTCTAAGCCTTGATTCTGGAGAGTCCACCAAAGGAAATCCCTTCCCATTTCATTTGGGCTCCCAAGGACCTGATGGGGATAGGGGTATTAGCAGGCCAAATACTGATGCCTGGAATCCATTCTCTCTTCCTTTTCCCCACCCCCCAGGGTCCCTAGAAGCCTGTTTCTCAGCGCAGTCCAGGACCTCCAGCCCCATGGAGCCCCCAATCCCACAGAGCGCCCCCTTGACTCCCAGCTCAGTCATGGTCCAGCCCCTCCTTGACAGCCGTGTGCCTCACAGCCGGCTCCAGCACCCACTCACCATCCTCCCCATCGACCAGATGAAGACCAGCCACGTGGAGAACGACTACATAGACAACCCTGGCCTGGCTCCCCCCACCGGCCCTAAGCGGACCCGGGCTGGGGCCCCAGAGCTGGCCCCCACGCCTGCCCGCTGTGACCAGGACGTCACCCACCACTGGATCTCCTTCAGCGGACGCCCCAGCTCTGTGAGCAGCAGCAGCAGCACATCCTCCGACCAGCGACTCTTAGACCACATGGCACCGCCGCCCGTGGCTGACCAGGCCTCCTCCCCGAGGGCTGTGCGCATCCAGCCCAAGGTGGTGCACTGCAAGCCGCTGGACCTCAAGGGCCCGGCAGTGCCCCCAGAGCTGGACAAGCACTTCTTGCTGTGCGAGGCCTGCGGGAAGTGTAAGTGCAAGGAGTGCGCGTCACCCCGGACGTTGCCCTCCTGCTGGGTCTGCAACCAGGAGTGCCTGTGCTCTGCCCAGACCCTGGTCAACTACGGCACGTGCATGTGCCTGGTGCAAGGCGTCTTCTACCACTGCACCAACGACGACGATGAGGGCTCCTGCGCCGACCACCCCTGCTCCTGCTCCCGTTCAAACTGCTGCGCCCGCTGGTCCTTCATGGGCGCCCTCTCCCTGGTGCTGCCCTGCTTGCTCTGCTACCTGCCCGCCACCGGCTGCGTGAAGCTGGCCCAGCGTGGCTACGACCACCTGCGTCGCCCTGGTTGCCGCTGCAAGCACACGAACAGCGTCATCTGCAAGGCAGCCGCTGGCGACGCCAAGGCCAGCAGACCTGACAAGCCTTTCTGACACTTTGGGTCGAAGCCCCCCGTGCTCCCCCTGGGAACGTGGTTCCCTTCTGACACCTGAGAAGACTGCAGCGAGGCCGGAGGTTCTAGCGTCCTGAGGCTGACCTTGCCAGTCTGCCCACCCCAGCTTGGGAAGAGACAGAGACCCCCCCATCACCCACTCCCTTCCCCAAAAGGAAGGAGAAGCACTTTGGGTTTTTTCAGGCTGGAACTTTGTGTGAAACAGACAGTGGCAGGGGCGTGGTGTGGTTTGGGGGGGATTTTTCTTTTTCAGAAGACGGAACACAGATGTGGCCACATATCCGGAAGTTGCAGCTGCTTGAATGCCTTCCCAGTTCTCCCTCCTCCCCCCCC